AAAAAAAAAAAAAAAAAAATCCCAACCATTCCTTCTCAAAGCAAACATGATTGTGCTACACCAAAATAGAGGAAGTCAAGAGGACATGAGTTACAAGAAACCAAGAGTTTAATACAGAAAAAAAGTGAAGGGAATTCTAAGGATGATGATAAAGCAAAGTCCCAGGACTAGAACTGTGTAGCAAAGAGAAGCAGAAGTCAGTCCAGACTCCAGGAGTAAGACAAGAGTGCTCCAGAAGCAAGACTCTTAAAAAATTTTAAGCTGAGGAGCACCTGGGTGGCTCAGTCAGTTAAGTGTCCAACTTTGGATCAGGCCATGATCTCACAGTTTATGAGTTGGGAGCCCTGCATTGGGCTCTCTGCTGTCAGCACAGATCCCACTCCAGATCCTCTGTCCCTCTCTTTCTGCCCCTCCCCTGCTCTCTTTCTCTCTCAAAAATAAACACTTAAAAAAAAATTAAGCTGAAATTGACAGATTATGTGACCTCTTTGATCACACTTGAGAGTTAAACTGAGTTTGGGTAAAGAATTAGTAATACATCATTGATAACTAAACAAACCAAAACATAAAGCAAATATTAACTCCAGGAAAAATAAAACTACATATTAAAGGTGATTCAAATGTAAAAATGTACTATGATATGTACCTTCCCATAACTACATAAACACAAACTATTCATTTAACTAAAAATTACAACAACAGAACTAGAAGAATAAGGAGACGAAATAAGATCTGTGGACAGAAATCTGGAGGAACAGTGTAGAAAGTGTCTAAAATGTTGAAAAGGAGATGGAGAAATAAAAGCATGTATATATGTTGTTCACAAGTCTGAAGTATAGATGGTAAGTGGCAGAACAAACAACTAAGAGCTGTCAGTTGCCTCTGAGCAGTAGGAATTAGGGGTGTGGAATGGGAAGCCAACCGAACAGAAATCTAGGAAAACTAAATAGAAGCGAACTAGAGAAAGAAAAATTAAAGAAACACAAGTGATATTTTCAATAAGGACAAAAGCAGGTGTGAAGGAATAGAAAATGACAAAAGAGGAGACAAACAAATGAAAGCATAATGAAAGCCTGGGAACATAGGACTATGGACCCATCACTGCATTCCAGAAGTTGGACATCACAGAAAGCATAGTCAGTTCACATTTGGTCAGTCTCTACCAAATTATGAGCCAAGTAAATACTAATCTTTCTACTCTTCACAACCAGTCTCTGCCTCCTCCATCTCCCTTCCAAAGCACCCTGTTTTGTCCTTTCACTTAGACTTAAGTTTATAGAATACCACCACCTGTTATAAAAGTTACTCACCTGCTAATCAAAATCCCACTGAAATCCCCAGGTTCTAAAGTAAATGATTTCTCATGTTTGAAGAAAAACATCTGATTAAAATACTACTCTTTAAATGTAAAACAGAGGTAGCCATAATAACCAGTCCTTCAAATTTTGCCCTGACCCCTATTTGATGGAAAAGTTAGGTAGTTCAAAGAACATTCTAAATTCTGTCTAGACCAGTGCCTCTCAATCTTTTGGGAGTTAGAATCCTCACTAAAAATCTCATGAAAGCTCTAAACTTGCTTTTTAACAAGTGTATCAGTTTCAGTGGTACAGAAACCCGTAAAAAGTTCTGTTTTAGACTCTGACACCACGTTTGTGTTTAGGACTATGCCAGCAGCTTGAAATTACAGTCTCTATGTAGGTACTGATTTCTCTCTTCTGATGGAACAGGCTACTCCATTACTCCTATAAAAACTAAAACAGACCTACTACCAAAATCCTACAGAGACACCTATTTGACCTTTAACAAGTACCTTAATCTCTCCAAGGTTTCAATATCCACTGGATTGTTGGGAACACAGCATACAACATATGCCTAGTAAATGATCGAAGAAACAATTATAGCTATTATAATCATGTCGGTCCCTGGACTTTTTTTAAATTTCCTAACACCTCTTTATTTTCATAGGCCCTCGCCGAGAAGAGATCTTGAATGACTGTCCTTACTATGTGCCAAGCATGGCTCTAAAGGTTTAACATGGGTCATCCTATATACCTATATTCTCCTATCAACACCATTAATTACTCCATCTTATTGATGAAGCGTAACTTGCCTGAAATCATAGTTTATAAATGGCAATGCTGTGATTCAACTCCCAAGCCAACTGACTCAAGATCTTGTGCACACCACCCACCCTTATCCTTTTTCCCCACCCGCCACATTCAATCACTAAAATTCCGATGGATCCAAAATATATCTGGCACACTATCTTAAAAGAGGAAATATACGCTGACCATGTTGTCAAAAAGCTTAAAAATTTTAAGCCATAGTAACAATGGCCCGTAAGAAACTCAGAATTCCCAAGACTGCGTTTGTCAAAAAGGCAAATAGGCCTCTTAACAGCGGTGGGAATGGGAGCGAAGTGTGAAGAGTAGGAGCAGAACCGTTTCATAAACGCACAATGACAGATGCCTCAAAATGGGACTTCCAGTGTCATGTGCGTGGTCAGGGAATTCCAACTGTAGTTGCCCCAGCTCCGGTCCGCTTGATGCCTACGACGGTCGCCCGTCAAAGCAGGAAAAAGCCCACCCGGGAGCTGCGTCAGTCCCCCGCTGGGTTCCATCGACCTCCAAAGCCTGAAAGATGCCGCTTCCACCACAGCGGGTAAGTGTCCGGGACACAAGAAGAAATCCGCCGCATATGGCAGGCGCCTGAACGCGAGGGACGAGACCGCGCGGGCGCAGCCAAAGAACCCCCGGACGGGATGGGCCCTCGAGCGAAGACCGTCAGGAGCAGGCCAGGAGGAAGAGGAAGAGCAGGCGCCAACGGCAGCCCGCCGCGGACTCCCTCCTCCCCCTCCAGCTCGCGAGCGCCACGCCGCCCACCGGACCGCGCGAGCCGACCGGCGCCTCAACGCGCCAGGGAGCGGCGGCCGCCGGGAGCCATGACGCCGGCCCTGCGCCGTGCCACGGCAGGGCCAGGGCGGAGGCCGCCCGGCTCTCCAGGCCCCGCTCACCTCTCGGGGCGACGGGACAGAGCTCTGCACCGAGGCGATGTACCGCTCCACGTCGGCCTTGCTGCGCCTCATCGCGCCAGCGACCTAACTCCCAAGGCGCGGGAGGCCAGAGCCGAGGCCCACAGCGGTCTCCGTCTCCAGGAGCGAGCGAAGCGCCCGAAAGCCAGTGACGCAGCGCCGTCGCCGACCGAGGAGAGGTACAGCCCGCGTGCGTGTTGCGACAGCACTGTGCGCCACGCCGACGTCGGCGTCGCTCCCGCCGCGAAGCCGACTGGCCGGCTCCGCCCTAGGCTCCGCGCGGTCCTTCCGAGACCTGGTGGGATTTGGGCTGTCAGAGCGTGGGTAGTGAAGATGCCGGAAAGGAGAGTTCAACGCCGCGCTGGTTCCAAGGATAGTCACTGGATCAACGAGATAATGTTTTCCCAGATGGTTCTCAAAACTTTGGGCCGTTTCTTCGTAATCTTCATTACGCGATGCCGTGGAAAGAAAAAGCATTTTCAGCCCATTTTGGTGAGCGGGTAAATTGAAAAAACCTTTCTGGAGGCTGTTGGTTAAATAGATTATGTCGGACACGTGTGAATACGAAGCAATACATGTTAAAAATCCATGTTTTTTAAAAAAGAAGATGTTATATGAGAAAATTTAAAGTGCATAATTAAAAGGCCATAAATACAGTTTTTAGACTATTATAATGGAATAATTTGAATAGCCCCCCAGATTTATATATATTTCAATAGCAGAGCCGTATATACCCAAATATTTACAGTAATCATCTCAGGATGAGTCATCTGTATTTTCCAAATCTTCAAAAATGTTTACTTCCACCACCACGCTCCTCCTCCCCTACGACCCTGAGACTGCTTTTATTGCATGGCTTTCTCAGAACGGGAATAAATCAACTTCTTAAGTCAAATATTCTGACAATGATACTCCTCAACTTATATACAGGTCTGGAAAAAACTTATTTGAATTCAAATTATATTTCAACAATAAAGAATACGTTTTCCATTTAGGGGCGCCTGGGTGGCTTAGTTGGTTGAGCGTCCCACTCTTGGTCTGGGCTCAGGTCATGATCTCACAGTTTGTGTGTGAAATACAGCTCAGCATCTGGCTCTGCGCTTACAGCTGGGAGCCTCCTTTGGATTCTCCCCCTCTATCTCTTTCTCTCTCTCACTCTCTTTTTCTGCCCATCCCTTGCTCACCCTTTCAAAATAAACGTCAAAAAATACATTTACCATTTAAAAATAGTACTTTGTTTTGATTAATTTATCTAATTTATGAAATTACACAGTTTACTTTGAAACGGGAGGTTTTCGGTTCTTTGTATTTTTGCGGTCAGATACATCTTTCATACCTATTCTTTATAAGAAAAACACTACTGTTTTATAAATCATTCTGTTCTTGAGAGCAATTCAAAATGAGCAGAATTCTATAATGAACAAAAATTGTTTTTCTTACTGCAAAACCATTTTTTGGTCAGGACCACTGAACCAGTACAAATGAAGTGAGCCATAACACCTACTAACAGTTTATGTGCATATAAGTGGGCGTCCCTCAGTTGTTCTACCTCGGATGAAGGCAGGGAACTCTACAGTAATCTACACAGCCCCTCC